TCATATGACATCACAAAAATTTAATTGTTATGATTCGATTGTTCAATAGCAAAAAAAGAACAGTCGATAATAATGATAAAGTTAAATAATATTTTTTTTTCGCAAAATTTATCTAACCGGAAATGATTATATTAATAAACTATACGTTTTATTTTTTATTCAAAAGAAGATTTCTACTTACTTTCTTTGAAAAGAATAATGACATGGAATTAAATATAATAGCATACTGAGTACAGACCATCATTAACACTACTCCAGAATATTCTCGTTTTCTTTCTTCGTCTTCTTCTTCTTCTTCTTCTTGTTCTTCTTTTTACTAATAGGACTAGCAGTATATGCTAATGTATAGATTAATCAAACTGAACTATATGAAAGATGATAAAAAGAGCATATAATTAGTTAAATGTATGATGCAATAAAAAGCTTGATAAGTGGATAGTTGTATATAATAATTGAATCAATCCGATGAAGAAAAAATAAATTCGTAATTCTATCGGTCATTAACAATTTGTGAATACTTAACAAAACATCCGAGAAGAATAAAGATTTATATGCTCTTTTCTATATAACGCTTTATAAAGATTGATTGATTATTGTATGTGATCTTATAGCAAATAATTTTTTGATCTTATATACAAAAAAGCAAAACAGGAAGAATGTCTTCTAGTATTTAAAAGAATGAATATAGTTAAAAACATACTAATACATTCTAAAAGAAAGACTAATCCTCATTACGATCTAATATTAAAAGACTTTAAAAATGACACGTTCATTATTAATAATACACGTACTTCACTATTATCTTATATAAATATATATGTGCCGTGTTAGTCAGCTTTTTTGAATAATAAATCATAGAGAATATTTATCTAAGAAAAAAGAAAAATCCGAATTGTTATTGAACTAGTTTAAAAGAAAAACTATTATTAGAAAGTGATTTAATGATGTATCAATAAAAGTAATTTAGTTTGTTTTATATAGACGAAATATAAGAAGACTGTGTGTCCTTGGTCATTGTTTTAAATACTTATAGATGTTTCAAATGAATGTTTTTATTTATTTCATATAATCATAATAGTTTATTAAAATAATATATCTTTTTTTAAAAATAATCTCAAAGAAAAAACTTAGATTAATAAAATAGGATAAAGAAAAAAAACGTTTCATTTTGAAAATAGATTAGTTTTTACAATAGAAAAACAATGCTTATCTAAACAAAATCAATCTATGTTTATAAACATAGTTTTGTTGATATGCATTTATTTATTTTCATATTATTTTTTATTAGGAGAAAAAAGAAGATTAGACCAATGACATTAGTCAACGGAATTTGTTTATATATGTGTAAATACATTATGTATCTTTCATTTTTTTTTGATTAATTGTTCTACACACACATATATAAACATAAAACGGTTAAAATAATTGTACGCACATGAAAATTTAATATTAAAATTATAATCGACGACGACGAATAAATTCTATAACAGTTTCTGTTCGTTGTTGATATGGATCTTCTTCAACAGATTTTTGTTCTGATTTAATAACTGTATCACTAAAATATTATATATACACACACACATATATACTTAAAATTATCAACAAGACAAAAAAAACAAACACTAAATTACAAATACAATCCAAAAGCAAATGATTATTGAAATATTTATAGATCTATAGAAATTGAATTTTTCATATTAACTATAGATCATATAAGATGATATTTAAAAATATCTAGTTATATTCTTAGTTATACATATCCACACAAATTAATTGGTAAAAGCATATATACATGATTAAAAATTAGATATATAAGAAAGATTAAAGATAGATACATTAATTAGAAGCAACGACAAAGACTAGTTGTCATTAAATGATTTATATATATGTATGTCTTACTTATTGGATTCTGTAGTATTAGTTGTTTTAATATTTCGTTCAAGATATGGTGCTTCAATAACTAATTTTCCGTCAATATAATTTGATTTTAAATGTTCAATATCGGTTTGTGGTGGTAAACTTGTTGATTGAAAAAATGATGTACGAGATTTACGTGTATCAGTTTGAGTTTTTCTTTCAGCTTTTACAATTAATTCTTGATCTTTAATTGATACTTGAATATCTTCAGGTTGATAATCAGTTAAATCTAATGACATCAGTAATTTTTTTTCATGTGTATTATCATTGGATGTTCCAGCAAGAATTTGTGGTTGAAAAGCTGATCGATGAAATAAATCAAAATCAAATGGTTTAGTTTTTCCTATTGATGGATCATTCTTTGTTGTAACAGTTACTGATGTTGTTGTTTTTTTTGATGAATCATTCATTGATGGAGGAATTCGATTTATATTATTAGTATCTGTATTATTATAATGATTTGTTGAATGACGATCACCATATAACATTGTTGATAATGGATTTGATTCTACAATAGATGATATAAATGAAGAATCCATTTTATTTTCATTTGTTGTTGTTGAATGTAAATATGATAATTCAATAATTAATTCTTGTTTTGTTTTATTAAATGTATATGTATGTTTACTTAAATCAATATGTTTTGGTATCGGAAATATTTTATGTAATTCACGACGAATAAAACCACCATAACTATCTTCTTCAACATGTTTAGCATCAACAACTAATTCATGTCGAGAATAATATGGTGTTAATTTAAATTCATTTTCTTCAAAATTATCTGTTGTAAGTTGAATGGTATATTTATTACCTTGATCACTTATACGTTGTTCATATGAATATTTTGTTGATCCAGAATTGTTATCTAAATTTGTTGACATCTTAGGATATTTCCAACTATCAGATTTATAACGATGATCAGTAGGAAATATT